TAAGCTCCCCTAAACTTAGAAGCTAACAACCAAATGTGAGTTCAACTATTTTTGCTTCTGAATTGTTGGTATTTAGACAATCTTTCATCATTAATAAGGCTTGAATAAAATGATAAAGATTGAAAATCAAAGAAACAGAGTGCAGAGAGCTTGGAAAACAGAGGGCTGATGCTTTTTGTAAAAAAGAGATCTTCTATTTTCATTCAGATATTTCTAATATATATGGCTCAATACATAAGCCGACTGAAGTAAATGGGTCGACTGATAAAGAGAATGGGTCGACTGATAAAGGCAACAGTCAGCCATTTTACACAGAATCAGTTTCAGTAAAGCAGAATCAGTTTAAGTAAAGCATTAACTTTTAACACTCCCTCTTAATGCTTTGTTGCTTCACTCCCAAAAGTTCTCTTAAGTAGATGAATCTGTCCTTTGGTAATGCCTTGGTGAAGATATCAGCAACTTGATCTTCTGTCTTGCAGTAGACCACATCCACTTCCTTGTCTTCCACAGCACCTCTGATGTAGTGATGCTTCAGAGCAATATGTTTTGATTTACCATGACAGACAGGATTCTTGCTCATGGCAATAGCTGACTTATTGTCACAAAGGATATGAGTTGCTGATTCTTGTTTCTCACCAAAATCTTGCATAATTCTTCTCAGCCACACTGCTTGAGAAGTTGCAATTGAAGCCGACACATACTCAGCCTCTGCCGTTGATAGTGCAACTGATTTCTGTTTCTTAGATGCCCAAGAGAATACACCAGTCCCTAATGTAAAAGTATAGCCAGATGTGCTCTTCAAGTCATCCACACTACCTCCCCAGTCACTATCACAGAACCCATACAATTTGGGCTTAACATTCCTTTCATACATAATACCAAAGTCAAGTGTACCTTGTATGTATCTTAGGATCCTCTTTGCAGCTCCATAGTGAATGCAAGTAGGCTTGTGCATAAATCTGGACAACAAGCTTGCAGCATACATAATATCGGGTCTAGTCGCTGTTAAATACAACAAACTCCCAACCAGGCTTCTATACACAGATTCATCAGCATCACCACTACCATCTTCTCTTTGAAACTTTTCATTCACAACTAGAGGTGTTGCAACAGGCTTGCAACCAACCATTTTGAACTTTTCTAGAAGTGTTTTTGCATATTTCTTTTGAGTAATAAAGATACCATCATTTGATTGAATGATACTAATTCCCAAAAAATAATGCAACATGCCTAGATTACTCATCTCATATTTCCTCATCATGTCATTCTTGAAATTCAAGATCATATTATGACTACTTCCAGTATAAACCAAATCATCAACATATAAGGAAACAATAAGGATATCTGAAATACCTTCTGTTTTGACATAGAGGGCGGGTTCATTCTCACTTCTTTGAAAACCTCTTTCATTGAAATATAAGTCGATCTCTCCATACCATGCTCTCGGAGCTTGTTTCAGGCCATAAAGTGCCTTCTTAAGCTTATACACCTTGTGCTCTTGTCCTTTAAGAACAAATCCTTGAGGTTGGTCAACGAACACCTCTTCTTTTAGGACTCCATTTAGGAAAGCCGACTTGACATCAAGTTGGTGTAGAAACCACCCCTTCTGAGCAGCTACGGAAATAAGGCCTCTGATTGTTTCATGCCTAGCTACCGGTGCAAATGTTTCTTGGAAATCAATTCCGGGTTTCTGAGAATAACCCTTTGCTACAATCTAGCCTTGTTCCTTTGAACGGAACCATCTTGATTGAGCTTAGTCTTATAAATCCACTTCACTCCTATGACGGAGTTGTCACAAGGTCTGTCCACTAGTTCCCATGTCTTGTTTTTCACAATGACATTGATCTCCTCTTGCATTGCAGCCTTCCAAGTCTCTTCTTTCACTACATCATCAAAGTTTTCTGGTTCTTCAACACAAAAATTGCAGCTTTTATAGACTTCATTTAAGCTCCTTAACCGAACCGGCGTTGAACTTGGACTTGAAAGTGTAGGAGAGTGAGCTTGAGGACTGTTTTCAGGTGATAATTGTGGAATTTCTGGCTCAATTTCCTCTTCATTTGGTTGATTTTTTTCTTCAATTCTGATTTGTGCAGATTCCTCTCGGATGGTTGCTTGATTCCAATCCCACGAAGATTTCTCACTAAAAAGAACATCTCTACAAACCACAACTTTCTTCCTTTTTAAATTGTAGAGTCTGTACCCTTTTGTGTATGAAGCATAGCCTACGAAAATGCATCTTTCACTTGACTCATCAAGTTTTTGTCTTAGTTCTTTCGGAACATAAGCAAAGCAGATTGACCCAAACACTCTCAAATGATTCACGGAAGGCTTTCTTCCACTCCATGCCTCAAATGGTGTCTTATCTTCAACTGCCACTGTTGGATGCCTATTCATCAAGTAGACCGCTATATTAACTGCCTCACCCCACAAATATTGAGGTATTCCCTTGTCATGTAACATTGCCTTAGCCATTTCGACTATGGTTCTGTTTTTTCTCTCAGCTACTCCATTTTGTTGTGGAGTGTAGCTGACAGTAAGTTGTCTTTCCAAGCCAATATCTTGACAAAACTTATCAAATTCTGTGGATGTATACTCTCATCCTCTGTCACTTTTAAGAACTTTGATTAGATACCCAGATTGTCGCTCAACCATAGCTTGAAACTTCTTGAAGATTGAGAACACTTCTGATTTCTGTCTTAGAAAGTATACCCAAGTCATTCTGGAATAATCATCCACGAAGATTAGGAAATACTTGTTTCCCACTTAAGTAGAGGTCTTCATGGGTCCGCAAACATCTGTATGAATCAATTCCAATGGAACTTTTGCTCTCCAAGCTTTACCATGTGGAAATGAATCTCTATGATGCTTCCCAAGTGCACACCCTTCACAGATTTCTTCATTTTCTTGGATACTCGGCAACCCATGCACCATTTCTTTTTCTTGTAGCTTCTTGAGACTTTGAAAATTCAAGTGGCCAAGCCTTTTATGCCATAGCTTTGAATCTTCTTGCACTTCCATCTTGAGTGCTGATTGAGTTGCATACTCAATTGTGAGTGGAAAACTTCTACTCTTCCTCATCTCAATCTTAGCCACGAGTTGTTGACGATTCCTCCTATCATATATCTTGCAAGTATTGTCTCCAAAATATAAGTAGTAGCCATGCTCAATGAGTTGTCCAAGACTTAGCAAATTTTGCTTCAAATCAGGAACTAACATGACATCCTTGATGAACATCTTTCCATTCTTCGTATGCACGGCAATAGTACCTCTTCCCAATGTATCGACTAGCTGCCCATTTCCCATCTTCACTCGGGTTAGGTTTGTAGTGTCAACATTATGGAGAATGTTCTTATTCACCGTCATATGATTGCTACAACCGCTGTCCACAAACCAAACTTTAGCTTCTTCTTGGACGGTTGTATCATGACCAACATAAAACATATTGGTCTCTTCATCTTCTGCTTTGGTGTAGTGAGCTAGCTGATTATCTTTGTAGGTACAATCCTTTTGCATATGCCCGAATTTGCTACACTTGTGGCATTTCACTTTTCCTTTGAACCAACATTCACCGGAATGAGCTTTGTCACAAATTTTGCACTTCGAAACATACAAACTCTTCTCAACCTTTTTCTTGTCTTCAAAATTACCCTTTCCTTCCCACGCTTTGTTTTTGCATTTCCAATTCTTGTTGGAGTTGGCTTTGCTTTGACTTGAACTAGCTTGAGTTTTTGGATTCACTGTAAGTGTTTGGAAAGCATTTTCTACATCATTGTTGTCATGCCTAGATAATCTATGGGCAAAACCTTTGAGAGAACCAATCAATTCTTCAACACTCAAAGTTGACAAATCCTTAGTCTCCTCTATGATTGAAACTATGTTGTCATACTTTCTTGGCAAGCTAATTAGATACTTCTGAACTATTCTCTCATCAGACAAGATTTCACCATAGCTTTTCATTTGATTAATAATCTCAGACAATCTACTCAGGTAATCATCTAGCAATTCATCATCTTTCATTCTTATATACTCAAAATCTCTTCTCAAAGATTGGAGTTTGACAGCCCTTACCTTAGTAGAACCTCTGTAGACTTTCTCCAGCACATCCCAAGCTGATTTGGCACTTGTCTCATTTGAGATTCTCGGAAAAATTTCATCTGAGATAGCATTTTGGATGACCCCAAGAGCTTTTGCATCTCTCTTGATGTTTACCTTCAACTCCCTTGTTTGAGTCTCTGTCAAAACCACAGTGCTTGGAGGTACAACATAGCCATCTTCAATCAAGCTCCACAAATCATGAGATACAAAAATTGTTCTCAACTTTGTCCTCCAGAAGTCGTAGTTTACTCCACTGAAGATAGGAGTTCGAATCTCACCACTGCTACTTGAACCAGCCATGAATTTGAAAAATTTTGATTCTAGGGTTTCACTTAGAATTTTCCCCCTTTTTGAGAATAAAAAAAAACGCCCCACTCTTTGATCAGATTAGCTCTGATACCATGTTGGTATTTAGACAATCTTTCATCATTAATAAGGCTTGAATAAAATGATAAAGATTGAAAATCAAAGAAACAGAGTGCAGAGAGCTTGGAAAACAGAGGGCTGATGCTTTTTGTAAAAAAGAGATCTTCTATTTTCATTCAGATATTTCTAATATATATGGCTCAATACATAAGCCGACTGAAGTAAATGGGTCGACTGATAAAGAGAATGGGTCGACTGATAAAGGCAACAGTCAGCCCTTTTACACAGAATCAGTTTCAGTAAAGCAGAATCAGTTTAAGTAAAGCATTAACTTTTAACATGAATTATGGAGCAGAGAATTCGAGTTTTGGTTCGAAGTGATGAACATTGCATTTACCAACTGATCTAACTCATGAACCAAGTGCTTTTGGTAAACCCATGTTAGTGGAGTGGGTTCGATAACACGAGGGCTAAAGTTCGACCAGAGTCGTTCCAAAGGCAAGGTGACCAAAGGCAGTTAAGGTATTAAATTAGGAATGTCTCGTTAAATTATCGTCTTAGACCTCAGTTTGTATTGGGACGACTCTAGCTCAACATATTCTTATATATCACAGTGCAACTTTCACAAAGGTCCACCTCCATCACACTCACTTATTTTTACAACAAAAAATAAGGAAAAAAAAACCTTCTTCTTCTACTACAACAACAACTTAACGAGAGTATCAAAACCTAAATCTTTCCAGACTTGGTTGCAGAGCTGATGGTGAGCGTGAGCAAGAAAATGACAGACAAGTAGGAGAGAACCACAGAATCGGTCCCTCTTTTGCAGAACTTCCCAAAGTGATCACAAATTGGTGCCCAGCCCGAGTGGCTATTCCCATATTGCCCCACGTACCCTATTGCAGTTGCAGCCGAGCATCCAGCCATCAGCAAACACAGCATCACCTGCCAACCATTCCAAAGTCATCATAAAGATATCATCATGCTGATCAGACAATGATGCTTTAGTCCGATGCAGAGATTCGAACTTAAAACCTCCTTATAGGAAAAACGGTGAAAATCCTACTAGGTCAAAGTTGGTATACAGTAATTTTATGCTAGTAAAAACCGAGCTGGCATACCAAATTGTGTAGGAACAAGATATTGTGGTTTGAACGAAAGATTCGAACTTGAGATATCTTTTATGAAACACGCAGAAACTCTGCTAGACTAATAATTATTTGGTATTAAGGAAAATATAACCGAGCTGGCATACCAAATCGTGCAGGAACAAGATGAAGTAGTTGGCGGGATTCGAGCCATTGCGGTGGATAAGAAAAACGAGGAACAAGGAGAGCAAGCAGAAGGCACTCACAACAGCATTTGCATAAGCAAAGAACCTGCAAAAAAACATAATATTATGGAAAATTAATTAAACAAAATGACTGAAAAATAATTAATATTTTTTTTTAGGGAATATACAAATTGGTTTTTTGATCTTTAATCTTACTTGAAGGTAGGTGAATAATAATAACGAGCATCAAATTCTATGCCAATAATCTGACTGGTCTGCTTGTTGGTGACCATCAACCAAGTTGCAGCCAATGTAGCAGCCACTGTGACAGTCCTCATGAAGATTTGGACTCCAAGAAAAATCTTTTGGGTTTTCAGAGGTGGGTTTTGCTGGAACTTGGATTCTGTGCTTGTCATGGTGAAAATTTCTTGGGTTTTCAGAGGTGGGTTTCTGAGGAAGAACAATTGCAGAAAACAAAGAACAGATAATAAGTGCTGAAGGGAAAGGGTAAGGGGAGATATTGAGAAGTGTGTGGAGTTAAGAGCATTTATAGAAGAAGAAAATGGTGAGAAGATTCTTTACATTTAGGGCTCGTTTATTGATTCGTAATCAGATTGAGGGGAATTGAATTGAGAAAGAATTGGATTGCAAATGAATTGAATTGAGGAGGAAACAGAATTAAATTTCTGTTAAAGTTATTTACTAAACTAAACTAGAATCGGAATACAAATGATATTGGTTTCATATATATTGTTTACTAATTCACTGAAATCGGAATTAAAACTAGTTTGATTACTAAATTGTCCTTGTTGAAAATAAATTATTTTTATGCTATAATTATTGAAAATTAAGTTTATCTATATAAAATTAAATTTATCATTACAAACTTTATCTTTTCTCCCTCTCATCCTCTCTCATCCCCATCTTTTCTTCACCGACTTCCAGATCACTCCCATAAAAGCACAGAGAAGAGCCTAGACCTAGTCCGAAGAGGGAAGAAGAGAAGTGAGAGTGAGGGGAACACGTGAATCAGGAAGCATCGCGGTTCGATTTGCGAAGAGGGTGTTGGTGTGACTTATCGACTCAAGTGCAGATTATGTTTAAGGGGAAACTTGATATAGGTCTAATTTTTTGAGCCAATAGTAAGAATAGTCCAATTTATTAAAATAAGTCCAATTCCTTAAATCTTATTATTTTATTATAATAATTATCTCTTCAATGATAAGATTTATTATAAAAATCAAATTTCTTCCTAATTATCTCTTTGATTTTTTTTTGTCCTTTCTTGTTCTTCATCCCGTTTTAAACCCCATTTATAGATTTTATTTTTTATTTTTATAATCAAGCTATATCACAGGTTAATTATATTTATCTACCTATATGATAGATTCTTTTTTATAATCAAGTAAGATTCATGTGTCTTGCTTGTAGATATATTATGTTTTTTCTACCTTTTAGTTAGGTTTCATATATTTCTTATAGGTATGATATACATTCATATATTTGTTACTTGAGTTAGGATAGAATGATTTGCAGATAGATTTATGTCAGTATATTATTTTTTTTGTTATAAGATATTAATTATATTTTTTGGAGTTGAAAATGCATAATATTAGAAGATTTTAATTGATTTTTAATATTTTTAGAAAATATAAAATGAGCATTCAAAAATAAATACATATAATTAGGTAATTTGACTCACTCTTAAAAATCATCTATGTTTTTGGACCTAGATCTAAAAGCCCCTATGTTTAATGGTTTCCATTTTATCTCATTTGCCAAATTTGGGCATGGATAATGTTGGACAATTACATGGTTTTTTTCTTAATTTTAATGCAATGATATTAAGAAAATGAAATTCGAACATAGGACTTCTGGTGAAAGAATAAACATTTTAACTATTTAAACTATAAATCTATTGATTATTACATCGTTAAATTTAAACTCATGGCGATTCTAACTCAAACTCATCTCTTGAAATTAGGTTTGATATTTGCTTTGTACTTCGTTTTTATTATTTTTTTGACAAACAATAAAATAATTATACAAAATTCATTTAAGATATAAAGGGAGCGAAATTCGAATTCAAATGCAAACGATAAAATATATAAAATATACTCCTCTGACAAACTTGATTAATCTAAATTACCCTCGGATTGAGTAATGATGCTCCTATAGCATTTGAGTGGTTCAGAAAAGTTTGTCAGTTTTGGAAGAGAGAAGGTAACTCTTATTACTGTGTAGTCAAATTGTTTGAACTTCACGAATCTTATGGCATTATTCACATAATTTCAAACCGCTCGTAACAGAGAATTACAGCCGTCTGTCTACCATGTTGATGTCATGTAAATGGTTAAAAAAAATTTAACGTGGTGCTGAGCTAAACACCAAATAAGTGACCTGTAATTCAGGATCCCATTAAATTCGCAAGCCGATGTTGAATTGGATTAGCTTTTTTCCTCCTTCTTCCACTTTTGGTTTCACACTTACTACCAAAGTAGATTGAGAGAGTTTTTTTTTACTAGTAAGATGTTTATATTGTTAGATTGTAAATTTAAATTATTAACCTTATTGGTCTTCACTCGTACGTGTGACTTATATTCAAAGTCTAACAATATAAATTAGCCCGGTAAGTTTAACAAAAACAATCTCAATCCATATTTACATACCAATTCATTCAAGGCATTTACTTCATATGTAGAACTTTGAGCTTTGAACCCATAACATGTCTATCACTTTTTTCCAGTCATTCAGTAAAGAGTTACAAACCCTTTACTGGAAAACCACGATGCCTCCTGCAAACTTCACTGCCGCCTGGATTTGGATAGCCAAACTGTACAACACTTTTGTAGACATTGGTGGAAATCAAGTAAGTTTGATCCAACTTTCCAACCTTTCAGATAAAGGATGCTTTCAGAGTGGGAGTTTTTCTCAAAAGCTGCAATCGATACAAGAAAAAAGAGGTCGACACGACACGTTTTCGGACTCGGGATACGACTCCCTAACCATATTCAATGCCATGCATGGTTTTTTGAGTTACAAGGTTCTGGTGGCCATGTTGGGCATGCTACATTATAGAGACTAGACGGAACCAAAATATATGCATTCATGTATAAAAATAAATTGCTTAAGGGGTTGGATAACACCATATGAATCCTATCACCATACTCCATTAGGGTAATGTTTTCTCATTAGCTAGCTTTAAGTTAGGCAAAGGTATGCTTATGTTGTTAAATTGTTGCAGTTTGACAATGTAATATTAGGGGCTCGTCTTTCTATGAGCTCATTCAGTGTCTAAAATCAGATTGGATTGCTTAAAAGACTGGATAATACAATATGATGAATCCTATAACGCGCTTCATTAGGGAAATGTTCTCTATTTAACTTTACGTTGTGGGGCAACTATATGCCTATGTTGTTAAATTGTTATGGTATAAATACTAATGGCTTGTCTTTCTATGAAAGCATCTAGGTTTAGATTAGATTGCTTAAAAAAGTGGATAATACTATATGATGAATCATATCACATGCTCCTTAAGAGTATTAATGTTCTCTATCAGATTTATGTTGTGAAGCAAATGTATCGTTAGGCTGTTGTAGCTTGATAATGTAAATACTATGGGCTCGTCTCTTATGAGATTAGATTGGATCGAAAAACTCATTGTATTTAAGATATGTTTAGGGAAGAAATGAAGATCTTTTGTCCAACTGAAAGTGGATGATGTATTATTAAAAAATAAATTTATTCCTTTATGGCATATACATTAATTATAGAGGGGTGATTTATGTCCACCTCTTTTCACCTTCTGCAGATGCATCTACAGTATGTCTTTTGATGTTTCTTTAATTTGTTCAATAATGGCAAGAAAAAAGAAGAAGAAAAAAACGTGCAAGAAGTAAAAATGAGTGTTCGAAAATAATTTACCTACATTCTAATGATCTTGAAATGAAAAAAATCATTTACCACGCCCATCACACATACCTTTATTTATATGAGCTATCTAATCCAATTCTATCCTAAGCACCAAACAAGCTTGGTGTTTGACAAAAGAACATTTTCTGTCATTATATCCGAAGTCTAAATATATCTATGAAAAACGAACATGAGCAATATCCAATGCAGCACACGCAATGCTAAGAGTAGCTAAGATTTATTGGTGTCCATTATTCATTTGATGCAACAAACATGGCGTAAGGGAAGTGTACTCATTTAATATGTGGTTCAAATTTCACATCTTTGTCAAGCAATCTTCCTTTTTTTCCTCTTTGCCACTGTATATTGGTTGTGTTGTGTATGTCGTTCTGCAAGCACTTGAGACACATATATGTCAAAATCTAATGCACCAATATGGCATCAAATTCAGGATGGAAGTAAAAGATACAATCATATTAGACCATAAAACTTACCACACTATATGCAATCAGTGTTGTAGAACCCAACATATATAGGGTGTGTAAGGCACTAGGGAGGGAGATTTACTGGCTAGGTTTCACTATCAATGTGCACCTTCACTTTCTACTCGAGAAATTAGGTAGGTTTTGAAGTAATACCAAAATCAGCAAAGGGCAAAACAACGTCTGAATTGTTCAAACTGGCTAAATCAAATCAATTTGGCAATTTAGTAAGTTTTTGCATTGAAAAAGTATAATCTTGAGCTGAATCAAAACTAAACTATTGTTTGAAAACTAGTTAAACCGAATCAAACATGATCTTCTTTAATTCATTAAGATCCGACAGCCAGAAATTGAGAATAATGTGTTAGAGGATAAAATGAGCATGTGGATAGCACCACTAAGTATCATAGTGAATATAAGGAGAATTTAATTTTGCATATTTTAACAGTGACGTATCATTCTGAATGTAAGGGCATGTGGATAGCACCACCCAAAGTTGTTCTCTCCTTAATGATAGCTATGCAGCTGTAGAACTTCCAAGACCTACCAGAGCATTTCCACAAGTAGATAATGATGTTTAATTTCCCAATTCGTATTTTTCATGTTCTCCATCTTCAATTATTCCAAGTTTCCCCATTATCAAAAATAATATGATGGAATAGCAAATAAAGTCCAATCAGTACTTCATTTTGATTCTTAGAGGAAATTAACTCTTCATGAAAGAACTATGAGATTCCTCAATTTGTAGCACTATTTTGCTTTTCTTTCTAAACTAAATTTGTATTTTGCTATTTTTTACAAAGCATTTTCTCCAATTTAGTAAGCAGTTTTTTTGGATGCTTATTTTTTCTTAGCTGGACCACTTCTTATTTGTTGTAGGCAAAGAAGACGACGGTTCTTTAACTTTCATTGAAATGGAGCCACTTGTACTACAATCGGGAGGTTTTAAGTTTAATTTTTGTTAAAGGTGTGAATTCAAACCAAATTATTATGGTTAGCTCATTGTGAGGTTTAATCACTCCCCAATCCTTAGTGTTGGTAATATCGTATATATTAAAAATAATCTTCAATTGAAACGGAAAAGATATAATATATATATATATATGTATGTATGTATGCATTACCAAAGCTGATTTTACTTAAGGACACGCCTATATTTTCTAGCACAATGGCATACACCACAAATTTACAATAATTTCTATTGTAGACAAATCACAATTTGACATATATGTATATAGTTTCTTTTTTCTTTTTGCAATTTTGACAAGTTATATTATTATGTATCAATTTGTGATTCTCAGATATCGAGCAATGCTCTAAATTGTTGTTGGTATCAAATACAATTACTAGTAGATTTGCTCTTACATCTCAGCTTAAAGTTATCACAAAAAGATCTTAAGTTCGATCCTTATATGCCAACAACCTTTTATGTTGCTCTTGCAACTGTTTATACACTCTCCTTGAAGAAGACATTGTAATAAGAACTCAAGATTTGACAACGATGAACAAGGATTTTGAGCTAAAAAGAAGGATTGAGCTTGGTGTGAGGATGGATGTAGGGATGTAGGGTTCATATGGACAAAAAAAGAAAGGATGAGGTTCTGGACAATGTCACGTGGCACTACGTGATTGGTTGAAAATCTTATCGAAATCTTGGCTAAATTATTGTAAACCGGAAGTGACACATGGCGTGTTGGGATTGGTCGAAAATATTATCGAAAATCTATCCACAAAATAGTACGTTCAGATAATGACATGTGGCACGACGTGATTGGTTGAAAATCTTATCGAAATCTTGGCTAAATTATTGTAAAACGGAAGTGACACGTGGCGCGTCGGGATTGGTTGAAAATCTTAGCAGAAATCTATTCACAAAATAGTACGTTCAGATAATGACACGTGGTGTAACGAGATTGGTTAAAAATCCTATTCGAAATTAAAACTATTTTATTTTTTTATTCTTTTAGAAAAAATTTAAAAATATTTTAAATGGGCTGAGTGCCGGCGCATTTTGTAAGGGTGGAGATCGTTTGTGCCAGCGCATTTTTTCATTGGGTGCCAGCGCATTTTTTTGGGGGTGGAGATGCATTGGCCTATTACTGTTCATTGGAGTCTGTTATTGTTCACTGAAGTGGATAAATGGGCTGGGTGCTGGCACAAAGTCCTTAGGGGTGGACTTGTTCTTAAGGACACGCATATATTTTCTAGCACAATGGCATACACCACAAATTTACAATAATTTCTGTTGTAGACAAATCAATATTTGACATATATGTATATAGTTTCTTTTTTCTTTTTGCAATTTTGACGAGTTATATTATTACGTATCAATTTGTGATTCTCAGATACCGAGCGATGCTCTAAATCGTTGTTGATACCAAATACAATTACTAGTAGATTTGCTCTTACATCTCAGTTTAAAGTTATCACAAAAAGATCTTAAGTTTGATCCTCATTCCCTACTTTTTTATTGCTTCGTATACGAAGTATAGTTAACTGACCCCGTCAGATAACTTGACACTAATCTTGACTTTTTGTTTCCTTTTCAAATGAACCCTTTTTACATAGACAATAAAATTACAGTTTGGTGGTTGGTTGGAGGGGAAGAATGACGTGTGAAAAGGATAAAAAAAAAAGTAATGAAAAAAGATTGAAAACTTTAATCAAAATGATAAAATGTATTATAAGTGAATAGTACCATAAGTAAATTTTTAAAGTAAAAATGTTATTTTCGTTAAAAGTAAACAGTACAGAAAGTGTTTCGTTAAAACTTCAAAAAAAAAATAAAGGTTTGGATCCCTCTTTTACTATTCTTTTGAAATTTACTACATTTGAGAGTAGTATGTGCTTGCCCTTTCGTTATACGTTCCATGGCTGAATTAGCTGACATAACTCCACTGCCTTTGAAACAAACTGCTCTCAGGGTGCCATGTTTAAGTCCCAAACGAAAACTCCAAGCTTTAGTCTCATCCACGAGTTACGAACTATCGAGGTTGGTTTGTATTCCAGTTGGTTAAGACAATTCACCCATGCGCCGGCTATCCTGCGTTTGACTACCCTTTTTGCTTGCATCGTTTTATAGAAATGAAACATGAAAAAAGGAGTTAAAGACTAAATGAAAGTGTATCAAAGTGATCATATATCTACAAGCATGTAGAACATATTAAATAGACTAATTATTGATAATTACAGTTATTTACAGATTGAATGGGGAATTGCCCCAAAAGATGACTGGAGATTTGAATGTACAACTATCACTATGTACAGTGACTACAGATAATGCAAGTATGCAACTGTCTATTTTAGCAGAGAATTCGTATGCCCTTCAGTTGCTGATATCAAAGTATTTTGGATCCGATGGGAAATGATACTCCACATGTAACTGCAAAACGAAAAACAACACGCATGGTTGGTTACGAAACGGAGCTCAAAACTATTTCATGCCTGGAAACAAAATGAACTGAAATTTTATACTTTTTGAGTTTGACACAAGAACTGATAATCCAGAAGTTGCAAATTTACAAAGACCGAACATAGACAGGCTGAGCATTAGAGTAGGATGGCTTGGTTTGAACCAATTTACGCGTAGTTGAATGCTACGCTATTCCATTTACTTCGGCCAATCAATATGCAGACATCTATAATGCAAATCAATAAGTATATTGGTGGCCAAATAGATAAGGTGTTGTGTATAACATACCTTGCCCTCATCAGCATCCGTCTGGCGCTGAGGGAACACGACCCTCAAATCATTATACAAGTAGAATCGCCGCTCCCCTTCAATGTCGAAACTGTTTGTCGCTTGTCCAGATAACGGGTCTAACTTGCATCTCTGGACTGACCTCGAGCATTTCTTAGGAAAAAGGCATGAGAAGCGAAGGTGAAGAGCATAACGCAGAACACCAGCACCAGCGGTATTCTTGCTCACTTTTGAAGGGCTAAGCAGAGAATTACTTTCATTAATCTCACTGGTCTTTTCATACCTACAAAGGCTACAACCATCGGATTCACCATGAAAACAGGGCTTTGTGTGTTCCCTCTCTCTTCGGTACTGATTCGCTACATCCTTAAACCCGTTTGAATCCACATCATTGTCACTAAGCTGCAATGAATTCGCAGCATCTAGGATCGAAGATGGCTTGGCATCATTTTCTTTATCAGGATCAGCATGTCTTCCATTCCCAGCCTTAGAGCTTGGTTCAGAAGAGGCTAGAGTGATCTTTTGGCGCAAAAACGTCTGTATGTTGATTTTGATATGAAGAATTTGCAAGGGAAAATGACCATGTATAAGGACTCAGTCAAAGAAAAACTAACAACTGAAGAAAGCATATTCCATCTGAAGTTCTACATACTACAGATTGAGCCAGAAAAAGTGTCTTTACTTCTGCTTCATGTATAACATCACATAAGCAAGCAGCATGAATTTTTTTTCTTTCAATTCTACGCTAACATGTTCAGCCACAAAATCCGCAGCTTGAGCTACGGACCTTGGGCCATTTCTATACCAAGGTAAATATGGATGGTAACCACATTCGTCAATAGCCAACCTTAAACTGGTCTTGATTTTGCAACAAATAATGACAGATTTCTGTTATCAGCTTAGCAAGATCTTACCACCTAATGTATACACATAAGGGCTGGGTTAGCTAAGGCATACTGGGTTTCGCTATTCCAGGCAAAGGTACACTCAGGACGGACTTATATAGTCGTATTGTCCGGTCTGAGGTTGGGAGAGACCTAAATTGGCCTAAGTCAACAGCTTCAAACCTTTTGCTAACAGAGTTCTAATTTGATTCATGCCCTTCCATTTTTGTGCTTTTCCTACCTCTGTATATTTCCTTTATACAAATTCATGTGGCAGCACTCATTGTGAGAATGTGAAGGTAAAAGAGTCCCATATTGGTGAAAAAGGAAACCTTGCAAGGGCTTATAAGAGGTTGGGCTATTCCCCATATTGCCAATTGGTTTTATGGTGGAACCTCAACTTCTTCATAGTATCATAGCAGGTTGTCCCGCATGCGTAGCCAAACGGCCACACACGCTCCACATCACCCCATTGTGACGTCCACGTTTTAGACTTGAAAATTTGCCACACGTGAGGGGGCGCGTTGAGAATGAGTCCCACATTGATGGGAAGAGGGACCTTGCATGTGCTTGACAATATGGGGAGTAGCCCAACCTCTTATAAGCCCTTGCAAGGTTTCTTCTTTCACCAATGTGGGACTCTTTTATCTTCACATTCTCACACTCACATCTGACTACTTCAATGAAGAAGTGTCAAAACAAAAGTTCCTACTTTTTACAACTCTAATGCTTTTAAAGGTCATGCAAGGCTCTCATAAGGACATTATTTATTTATTTTTATTTTTTTAGTACATAAGGACATTATTTATATCCTATAACTGGTGATACCTGTTGAAAACCTAGCCATATCCAATTTCATATCAAAGTGCAGATTTAATCAAGACAGGTGTAACTTCAAATCATAACGAACAACATTCATCATGCATAAGAATCGTGCTAAGTGACAGATAACTTTTTCTCTACTCCATGACTACCTTGGTTCCAGCAGGCATGTCACTCAAATCGTAATTACAGAAGAAGGTGTGAATAGGTGTCTTTTCTGGATTGCTGAGAACCTGCCATAAATCATTCAGTTCATGAGTGTATGACCAACCATCTCTTGGTCCGACTATGACCAGATGTCTTTCAATATGCACAACTACAAGGAACTAATTGACAAACTACTAATCAGTACGAAGATGATCATCAAAGGCTTTGCGGGAGACAATCCAATGTATCATTTTACTATCATGCATTTTGTTAGAAATACTTTTCCCTAACAGCTATTCATATCCCACCATCCAAAAAAAAAAATACAGAAATCAATTCTGCTCTCTTTCCCACCCGTTACATACAATGTCATTCTTTTTTCTCGAAATCATTCCATATTTTAAGCACAAGAGACTAAGATATCCTAAGCCACATAAACAACGGATAATAACATATCCAGAACATCAATAAAAGCTCCTGTTGATTCTAAAAAGTTCCTAAATTCAATGCACTGCTGTGGATAGAACTGAGACCATTCGAAGTTCTCTGACACTTCATATTATTTTGATTAATATTAGTTACCAGTTGTATGCGGCCTTTCATAGGTATCCTCAGACGGTTCTTGTCTGCTTGTGAATCATCCATGCTAAGGCTCCTCTTCATCCTGGGGCTTCCATAATTGTTTGGTGTCGTACTCCCAGCAAGACTTATTGATGAATAATATAGTAAATAGTTATCTCCATCCACACTGGTCACTGCAAATGGAAGTTTCTGTGTTTTGGGCGAGAAACTCCCCCCGGTGACATTCAGAAGAGCAAGAAAACCATCAATTCTCTGCAAATGGGAAGTTTCAAACACAAACTAAAGTCAATAAAAAAAAACTGACACACTATGGAACTCAATATGTATCGAATTACAGTTGAGATGAATGCAAACCTGACCAACCTTTGCAGACAATAATCGACCAGACAACAGGGATTCCTCAAATGAACCAATCAATGACCTTCTAACAGGCAGTCCAGTAGGTGATCGTACTAGTTTAACACATTTAGGCTTCGGTTTCAAGTCCTGATTCCATTGATGCACCATCCCAGGTGTAGAACTCTTAGAACTAAAGAGGTCAACCATTTTCTGCTGAACATGAACATCTTCGGACGAGTCACTTAGCAACCTAAAGGCCTCCTCTTTCCAGGATGATGATGCTATGCCTGAGATTGTTCCATCAAGTGACTGTTCTATGTCCTTTAGAGTTATACTGTTATCATCTATCTTTGGCGTAGAACCCCTGCATAATTCTCGAGATTTCACTCTTTCAGAAAACCTTGGACCAAGAGGAGAGAGAGAAAGTGTAGGCAACACAACTTTTCTTGAAGATATGTCTATAGCACCTGATTGTGACCTCACCTTAATTGTTTCTCCAGAGCAATCAAGTCCAGATGGTGATATGAACTGATTCGGAGATCGTGGCTCTTTGCTTTCAAGCAAAGGACCATCAAATACAAAAGAGGAGTTTGTATTGCAGTTGTGATCCGGTGAACTTTTCCACTCCGGGGAACAAGATGCAGACCAGATTGTAGAATTAAAATAACTGGAGTTGCCAAGATGAGCTTTCTTATGCTCTTGAGTGGGAACATTAGAACTACCATTGTATCCCCAAGAGCCACTCTTATGAATCCCATCTCCAATGTCTAGAGAATCACCATTAAACTGATCCTTGGGAAGCATTCCATTCAAAGGAGACAATAACTGCTTCCTGTGCGCTGACCCAGCAGCCTCAGTTGTGTCCCCTGTGACAGTCAGTGAACTTGAAGAATATTGGTTTCCATTAAAGAAATTAAGAGGAGAATCCAATATTCTTGGTTCAAAACCAACAACCCTAGGAACAGGTGTCTGGGTATTCTGCCCGCTTCTCTGACTTGACCAAAAGTATTGTTCCGTAGAGTTCATCTTCGATGCATGCATGCTTGATCTACTAACATCTTTACGTGCATTGGCAGAATCTGGTCTATTTGGAATCTCCGTGATGGATTTCCTTTGAAACTCTCCAAAAGAAGAGCATGTGAAATCCACCTGCACATGGTTTCCCAGGTTTCCTCCATGCATCCCACTCAGATCACAGGTGCTCATTCCAGCAACTCTAGGTTGAGGTTGCATAAATGTGCACAGAGACGCTGTCACTTCCTCGGCAATGCTGCTAGAAGACACTTGAGGCAAGCCCATCTTCAAATATTTCAAGGTGAATGCTTTATTTAGCTTGATTTTTTTTTTTTTTATAATGTGTTTTCTTTTTCTGCTTTCTCGGTGTATTTATGCATAAAAATCAAACTGCATTTCTATGTTCCGAGTTACCAAATGGTTCCAAGTTGCCCAATCATTACTGTGCTACCAAAGACTTTACTTGCCTCGGTCCCCCTAACTAAAGAAGTAGTTCTAAATTTCTAACAATCTAATTCCAATTCCCACTAATACTAGAAGCTATGATACTATCCCTACCAAATGCATTTGCATCCCAACTATTTCTTCATCAGACATATGGGAAATCAAGCAGAAATCAGGATCTCGAATGGGATAGGTAGAAAGCCATGTCTTCTTCACGCAGCTAACAATGGGAAATAAGCAGCTCATGGCTTTCCATAAAACCCAATGCAGCATCCTGGAATTATCAGCTCGGTCAGAAAGTGGCAATCGACAACCAAAAGAGAAAAACTAAACATTCAAACTCCAGATTCTTTTATCTTTTCCCCTTTGGTCTTATCATTTCCAAAAGCAAGCAAATAAAATACAGTGATCCCCCAACATAATCTTAACCGTTACGACTGAACAAAAACAAAATGCAGGGGCATAAAACAGAAACCAATCAAATGACTGAGATTCCAAGAAGTAATCCAAGAAGTAAAACCTTTGAAATTCTCAACAAAATACTGTCAATGAAGAAATTTCAATGTGGCCAGCTTTGATTCATACAGGATTCCATACCCAATGAGCCAATGATTCAATGAAGAATATGCTCGAAAACTTCACTTAATGTTTAACAACACAAAATGTTCACAACGCCATTTATATAGTAATCTAAACAAATGTGTGCTAAAATACAAGAAGTCAACAACCCAACAAATTCCAGCTACAATTTCTACATGGGTCCAATTGGTTGCTCAAGAATTCTAGAAAATCGAACAAGACATATCTCCATACATAACTGATTATTTGTATTTTCAGTACATAGAACTTTCTCAAAAGTTTGATTCTTTAACTGTTCAACATAAACAACAAAGATAAAGCTAAAACCTTTCACAAGCTGATCAATCCAAAACAACTATTTCTTTTCAAATTTCAATCCAACTACTAAAATCTCAAGAACCCAAAAAAATTAGAAAAAAAAGCAGCACAACCCAGAATTAAATTTCGTACCCTTTTCCTCAGAAAACTAGAAACAGAAAAGCCAAACGCCAAAAGCACTTATTGTGGTTGTTTCAAAAATCAGCAGGCTTCTTCTTTCTTCTTGTGCGAAACTCGTCTGTTTTGGTTGCAATTCCTCTGGTTTCCATCTGTTTTCCTTTTTGGTGTAAGAAAATGGATGTTGGGTAGTGATTGAAGATTTGGCGTTGGTCCCCCAAATTTGTTGAATAAATTAACAGAAAGAATTACCAAAAAAAAAATTAACAGAAAGAAAAAAGTAATAAAAAAAAAATTGTGGGTCATGAATATCGCATTATCCCGAATTTTCTGACCGGTTGGCTGCGGTTGAAAACCACATCACATGTTGGTCTGTTTTCTTTTCTTTCCTGTGTATGTTGTTGGCAAATTGGCATGGAATTGTTTGTGGGCAAATCCAAACCCCAAACGCAAAAGCCAAAAGCCAAAAGCCGAAAGCAGAAACCAGGGGCTCCCTTTGAATTCAAGTTGCGGCCCTCTTTTTCCCGTCATAATTAGTTTATTATTACATCACATGTCCTGTCTACCTCCACGCCAACTTTGTCTCTGCACAACTTGGTCTCTCTCTGTTGCCCAGTTTTCATTTTTCATATTTATAAATGGAAAAGAAATTGAAAAATGGTTACGTAGGTAAAATGTTTGGTCCATTCTTATTTGTATATGATGCAAAACTCATGCACGTCTTCAAATCTTATTACAAATTTCCGAACAGTTGAGAATTGACCTTAGTTATTAGAGAATAATTAATTACCAACAAATTTAAATACTCTTTCTTGTGAATGGGTCTACTTGTTTAAGATTTTTGGGCGTAAAGTGTCGTTTATACATTGTAAAAGAGGTGTTATATGCGAAAGTATCATATATTGATATCTAATCATATTGTAAGAAACGAGCATCCATATTCCGTACTCAAGAATTTCTCAGATTTCGTTAACTGTATATGATATTGTCTTGTTGCATAGGATAGCAAGTTGGTTTCGTAACCTCACCACCACCGTGTAATAGCACTAGCAATTAAGTATAGCATCAATAATGGGAGATGTGAAAGCAAGAGATATATATGTTTGGAGGCCTATATGACTTGTACATCGTCCAAAACTTTCTGCTCCAACTATGTATTTTATATTCTGAAATCTCATGTCACTCTTTCCAATCCTTTTAAAATTTAGGTAGGATGACAAGCAATCAATCTAATTAAAGAGATGTGAGCAGATACAATCAATTTTTTTTTTTGTTATTAGATTATTGATAATTTGTAATGCTCCTCGCGCATAAGTAAGGGTCAAATATCGTAGTTGTTTTCGTTGTGAATGTGTGTGTGTGTGTATATATATATATTTTATCTAATATATATGTGAATGTGAAGTGACCAAAAAGATACATACAAGTTTGTGTGACGAGAAAGATAAATACAAAAAGATAAACGTCAGACTACACCAAAATTTCTCTCTCGCCATAAAACAATACAAAAGATAAGTAACCAATTAGTTATTTGTACTCAACCATTGTGGCTGAAGACGTTCTTATTATCAAAAAAAACTTTCATAACACAAGTACATTGTTATTATTCCGACGCATGTCTATTGATATTAATTTGATGCCGCCAAAGTAATTTCCTCCCGGGTTGCCACTTGCGTGGTTGCCTAAAATTCTCTGTCAATGCTTTTGCATTCGTCAACAAAGCAAAGCATTTCATCCTTCTAATTTTCACACGCTTTGCCAAAAAAACAAGAAGACCAACTGACCATATATATAAATCCCCACAAAGCCATGTCAAACGTAAATTACGTAATTAAGAGGAGGAAATTAATTAAACCCTCCAACTTTTTTTGAATCTTTCTAACCCCATAAGCGGTGTAACATTCTTCAATTATCTAGAAGACTAGAACGTTGTAATCTGGTACTCTCTCGTAGATTGTAGAATGTGCTACGTAGCCCTCGTGACCAGAACCTGTGAAAAAAACCCTAAAAACCAAATGCCACCGCGGAAATCAGACGCACTGTTGATCCCTTGCAGCGTTGTGGTGAGTGAGGAAGCCACGTCCATTTCTCGTACACTACTTACCACAATCTGTGTGGAGCAAGAGAAACCCCGTTTTGACTGGGAAACCCTAATGAGGACGTACGTGGTGCCAAATTTTGCACCATTCAGCTTCCTCCGCTTAGCACCTAGGGCCTCAAGGTCACTCCACTATATAATCCCACTCCAAGGCATGCAATTTCAACAGTCCAAATAAAACGCACACTTTACAGCCTTCTCAAAAGTGCATCAGTTAATTAACTATTTGCCTGCTTAATCCTGTTTAATTAAGAAACGTACAATGGCTGCAACAGTTTCCATGCAATCAATCTTTACAAGTTCTGTAGCTTATGGAGTTGGTAAGAGCAGAGTGAACCAGCTGATTGTTCCTGCTAACTATGCACCAAGTAGTCTGCGTAAGCATGCTCACATGAGAGTAATCGCAATGGCCAAGGTAAATTTCCTCTATAAGTCTTTAGTTAATCTAGCATTATACATGTATTAGGGTTAGGGTTTTAATCACATATGGGTTAATTGCAGGATGAACAGAAGGAGCAACCAACCACTGTTACAGATGCATCAGAAAATTCAGAGCCAGCTCCTTCATCACCTTTACCTCCTCCACCTCCTCCTCCTCCTAAGGTAATTAACTACTCCTTATACCGGGAAGCTTTCTTTTGCCAAACTTACATTGTTCAACTCTCAATTTAACCACACATTTAGGGCTAATTAGAGTTGAAATTCAGAGTCTCGTAACATAAATATTTTAATTACGTGTTACAAAATAGTTCGATGAGAGAACATTAACAAGCAGAGCTATATGTATCTTAAACACATCGTGCACAACATAAAAAAAAATTTAAAAAAAATTATAGCTCCACCACTCATATTTATAAAACTCTAATTCCACCACTCATTCTTATAAAATTTCAAAACTATAAGCTCATGAAGATACATAGATTCTCATGGGATGCACGACAAGCATGTGACGTGTACATATTTCTCTCTGTGTGCAGGTCAGCCCAAAGTTTTCCGACGTGCTTGCATTTAGTGGCCCAGCACCGGAGAGAATCAACGGCAGGCTAGCAATGGTGGGATTCGTTGCAGCTCTAGCAGTGGAGCTATCCAAGGGCCAAGATGTGTTTGCTCAGATATCCAACGGTTTAGGGATCCCATTGTTCCTCGGCACCAGCATTTTGCTGTCGGTGGCATCCTTGGTTCCTCTATTCAAAGGGGTGAGTGTGGAGTCCAAATCAGAGGGACTCATGACTTCAGATGCTGAGTTGTGGAATGGAAGGCTGGCAATGTTAGAGCAAGTCCACCCCTAAGGACTTTGCGCCAGCACCCAGCGCATTTATCCACTCAAATGAACAGTAATAGACTGGAGTGAACAGTAATAGGCCAAGGCATCTCCACCCCTAAAAAAATGCGCTGGCACCCAGCGCATTTTTTTGGTGTGTTTTTTTTTTTAAGTTTATTTCGGATAAGATTTTTAACCAATTTCAGATAAAATTTCAAATAAACTTAAAAAAAATACACACTAAAATAAAATTACATACTCATCAAATAAACTATAAAAAAAAAACACACTAAAATGAAATTACATAAACTCATCAAATACACTTTATTCTTCAACCACAAGTTTTTTGGTATTTTTTTTTCACACAAAAAGTATATGAAAGCTTTGGTAGAAAGTGTAGAAAATATTGAAATGTGGTGTAAGGTGGAAGATGAGAGTTAGGTATTTATAGAAAAAATAAATAAATTTTTTTTTTTAAATTTTATGTATTTTTTAATATTTTTTCTGTATGTTTTAATAAATTTTAATTAGTTAATTAACGTGGACCTTTGATCTGTGATCGGACAGTATATTTTAAAAGTAAAATTTAAATTTTTTTTACCGTTGGAAATCCAACGGATATAAGCATGCCACGTCGCTGATGGGATCCGGAGCACAAGTGGGCTGACAGCCCTGTCGGCTACTCGCGGCAGCGCCTGCGTGAAGCGCACGCGCCAGGCAAACTGCCCAGCTTCTTGCTCAGTCTGTTTTGGGCTGGTCCATTGCCCAGCTCGGGCTGGGTACCAGTCAAAATGAGGGGTGGACTTGGTTGACAGGGTGCTGGCCCTGTTTTTATGCTGGGTCCTGGGCAAAATCCACTGGGGTGGAATTGCTCTTAGGACTAGTAGCCTTGGCCTTCACTGAGTATGTGAAGGGTGGGACCCTAGTGTAGACTAATATCTCAAAAGAGTGGGTTCATTTTCATTCTACGTAATATTAAGTGCTATGAGTATTAGATGATTTGTAGTCTTGTACAAATTAAAATCATAATGTAAATCAATTTAAGTCATCTAGTCATATATTGTAATTACAATTTATAAAATAATGTAAATATATAAAATGTCACATTTACATACTCCACAATCCCAAAATATATGACTAACGCTAAAGAGACCCAATTTTTAAATCAAATTTGCAAATCAAACGATGTGTCACTAATAAGAAATAAACACGTTAATCAACATTTAATTAATAATTTAATCATCGACAACCATATAACCCACAATATATAAGTGTATGTATATTTGCCTTTTCTTTCATAGTATTTTTCTGAGGTGAACTGTGGTTTTGAATGCAAGTAAACTTTTTTGCATGTGGTCCAATATCTTAGTGGATACGATGTTGGATTTTCGCCCACGCGTCCCGAGTTCGAAACTCTTCCTTCCCTAAATTATTGTAATACTTTCTAACTCTCACCACTCTTTCTAATAATAATAATAAATAATAATAATAATAATAATAATAATAATAATAATAATAAAAGAATGCAATGCAACCTTTTAGACTCATGATGACACATCCCAACCCGAATCAGGGCATGCTAATCGTCACGTGAGAGTGACGTAGCCATGTGCACAGTGCAGAAACAATAATGATAATAGAGAATATGGATAAATGAAAACCAACTCATAAGAGTACTAGTTAAGACAAGTGCTAGAATATGTGCAAATACGCAATTAGAGCGTAAGTAGCCTAAGTTCAGTCCAGAAGACAAGTACTAATTAAACGACACCCAAAGATGCCTTACATTTGTGATGGTCTGTCAGAACCTCCAATTAATCCTCGTGAGCCACCAACGAACAAGCTTATCTAAAACCTGGAGGGGTGTAAAACAGAAAGTGTGAGTGGGCAAAAATAAAGCTTTTCAAAACCATTTCATTTATCAAATGATCTAACCCCTTGCCGTAAAACATGTATACTTTTCCCAGAAATGGAATATAAATATATATATATATATATATATATCAAATCATGCTTCACATATCCATATTCATAAGTATGCCATGCCCAAATATAAAACAAAATAAGTAACTCAGGTGAAAATATATTCATGGAAAATAACACATTAGCCGGAACCCTGCAGAGGTTTGTACGACTGAATTCATAGCTCATTAGTCAATCTAGCAGTAATCACCGCAAGTGACCTATACGGCACTACACTTCACACGAGTCGGAACCACTGTAAGGGTCTGTACGACAGGAATGGGTTTAATATAGTTATGCTCATTACTACGTTCTTGTTATAATTGTGCGATAAATCGTTAGTCACCTATAAGTCGGAATCACCTATAATGGTCTGTACGACAAGACTATGCACCTAAATTGGATCCAATGTAAGCATACGGTGCGGGAGGTGACATCATAAACAGGCATGTACCATAACTCTGGCTAAATTACAATCACCCGGGGTGCAAGTTCATGAGCTCTCAATCACGTCTCACATTATCAATGTCTCATATAACAAAACATAACTCACCTGTACTTACCTGAGCGTCCACAACACCAATTCATATTATGCATCATATAGTAATTCATATGCTGAATATAAATTTATATGCATGGCATTTCAAAGCATACTTTCATTTAAACGCATTTTCTAGGAAAATATCAAGTATATAAATATATACTGAAAACTAAAAGCCCACTCACTGGTATGTCGAAGGGTCGTAGCCCCCGAGTCGCCCTTGACTGCGCTCGTCCTCGGGATAGGTCTCACCTATATGCGAAATAACTGAATAAACGTTATTTAAAGCACATAGACAAAACTAGTTAATAACTTCTTATTCATTGCTCAAATGGGGTGTTTAAATATACCAACGTGATCTACACAACCTCACAAACATCCCCATATTTTTAGAAAAAGTTTCCGACCACCCACGCGTCGGCCAAGGCACGGCCAGACGCACCCTCACGCGCGGGTAACCCTGACGGAAACCTAACTGCCGTTAGGAATATTCCGTTAAAAAGCAACAGAAACCGTTAAATCTACATGACAGTGTTAGAATATTCCGTCAAGTTTAACGGATATATTCTCTGTCTTTTTCCTTCGAACTCCGGCGACCGTCGTCGTCGTCGAAAACTGGAAATCTTAAAATCCTTATAACTTCTTCATTTTTGCACCAAAACTCATGAAACTAATACCAAATTGAAACTTACAACGAATAGAACACATTCTTACCAATTTCAAGCTCCAAAAATCACGGAATCACGTCGGAAAATTCCTCGATAATCCTGCCAAATTGCAACTCATCAAAACTAGGTCTCCCGACGTCCAATTTGCTTGGTTTTTCTTCTCTGAGCTTCGTAAGAACGTCCTAAAGCTTCCTATGAGCTTAAAATCCCCTGAAACATCCATAATTACGACCACAGTACTCAAATCGAGGGTGATGATTTCTCGGGGTTTTGAGGGTTTCATGATCTAAAAATGGCATATATGAACTCAGAGACTTGCAAGGAGTTTGAATCTTACCTTATTGACGTCCATCCATGCGTGTATGATTGGTTCCAAAGTTCGTCCGTACAATTGTACGGATTTTCAGAAAAATCCGTGAAGGAGGAGAGAGAGAGTGCACGGGTGTGTTGTGTGGGTGTGTTATGTGGTCCTAGTTTGTCCCCAACAAACCAACAAAACACTTAAGTCCTAAGTATTCCAAAACTTAGGAAAAATTAAAAAAGAAACCGCAACCAATATATCACACACCATAAGGTTCAAGGGTATAATTGTAATTTCAGGCTGTCGAAAATAATACTCTGGGACGCGCTGTGACACATGAACTTGACTATAGTAGACTTAATAATTGTGAATACTTCCTTAAATATTGAACATTTAACCTTGAATAGTTGAATAATTAATTTAAACTTGTAAGCTGCCCACCATAGTAAATATTAACCATCAATAATAAATAAAAATATCAATCAACACTTAAGTAATAATTCGATTATCAATAATCACGTCATATGATCCACTACATATGATTTAAATAGATAATTTCTCTAACATCACATTTTATTCATTATCATAATGTTAAGGTCTACGTTTGACCAAAAAAAAAATTGACCAACAAAAAGGAGTGTTAAATTCTACGATTACTTTTAAGATCCAACTCCAAGAACCTAAATATGTTAACTAGTCAAATTGAAATTAAATGAATTAAATCAAAAGTTGTGCTAGTATCAATCGTAAATGAGCACATAATAATATATTGACTATTGATATGCGTGGGACGCTTGTGAGAGTGATGTTATGTCAACTATTGATGGTTTGTCCATGACTTACGCAGGACCCAAACAATCGATCACTAAAACTACATCACACACTCGCAAAATAGTGCTAACATCTTTCGTCAATGAGATTAAATATTAGCAATTGTGATTGTGTACATAAAGTTGTTTTTCTTGAACCACGATTTTATACTTTAATCAAAACTAAGGGGCGTTTCATTTGGAATTTTCAAGGTGAGTGAATTTCTTCAAAATTTTAGAGGTAGAAGGCATGATTTGTTTAACACATTATGAAATTCTCTCAAAACCATCAAAATTCTTCACTTTATAAAATTCTTTAAAAGAGAAATTTTAAAATGTTATAAGAACTCATACACTTTTATCAATTTGTCATATGAACTTAAATTTTAAACAATTTGTTATATAAACTTTCTGAATTCATTAATTTGTCATATGCCCTTAATTCCGTAAGGATTTACGTTCAAAATAAATCGTACTTTGTACATGACTTGTGTTTAGAGATATTTAGGACTTTCAACTCTCCACTCTCCTAAAAAGTTTTCTTTGCCGAAACAAAAATTTAGAGTTTCTATAAACTAAAAAATGAAAATGTTTAGGCAATGAAATAATATTTTTTATTCTAAAACAAAAATCAAACTTAGTATAACGACATGGCATAATTACGATCGAGTTTCTCTCCAACAGTATAGTCCTCAAAATATATACCACATGTTCTTGTAGTATAATTGTCCTCTAAAACAATGGTAAATATCAACTTACATTATTTTAACTAAGTTATTCCTTATGGCAAACAATAAAATGAAAATGAGGTCAAATGTTTGAAATAATTCTGAACACAAGTTATGTGCAAGTGTTTTGCATAAAAAACTTAATAGTGTTAAGATGAGATGATAAATTAATGATTTTGGAAAGTTGATATGACAAATTAAAAAAAATGTGCAAGTTCATATGACATTTCAAAAAATTTATTTATACACTGTATAAATACATATAAAAAAACTTTGACGATGTAAGATGATATTTTTCGAGTGCTAATAATAATTTTTATATAGTAATTTATTTAAAAAAAAACCTTTAACTGGTTAGTTGATAGTGAAATTTGATTTACCCTATCTCTCTCTAGTAAGTGCAAGTAACTACCGTTACGCATAAAAAAATGAAGTGCAAGTAAAGCATACATTCGAGAAAGCGATAGAGAGCGAGATAAAGGCGAGAGCTTTATTTGCCGTACCGCCATCTCCCACTCTCCTAGAGTTCTTCTGCTAATTCTCTCCGAGTAATTAAAGATGGTAGACTTCGCTAGGGTTCAGAAGGAGCTTCAGGAATGCAGCAGAGACATCGAGCGCTCCGGCATCAAAGTCATCCCCAAAAGCGAAGCCACTCTTGCCCGTTTAATCGGAACAATTCCCGGCCCAGTTGGTACTCCTTATGAGGGCGGCACTTTCCAGATCGACATCGCATTGCCAGGTTCAATTCTCAATTGCCCTTTTCACTGTTTGCTGCTGTTTTGTATTTGTACTCGTAATTTTGATGTTTTTTTCTGTTTGTTTCCCGAGCAAAAGCCCAGAAAGTGAAATGGGTTGTGCCAAAATTGAAACTTTTCTATGAAAAAAGGTTATGGCAGTGAATATATTGTTGGTTTTAAGTGGGTTTGAATGAAGAAATTTGCTGCTAAAGAAAAAAATTAAAAAGATGTTAATTTGTAATATTTGGGTTGTTTAATTTGGAGGGAAGTAAGTGTGTGAATATTAATTTGTTGAAATTACACTTCCTTTTCTTGTTCTTGTGTGTTCTGACCCTGTGCTGTTAGATAATTTGGTTTGGGTAACTTTTGA